GGTCTTGGGAGACTGCATTTAGATTAGCCAACAATCATCTACATTTTGGTGTTGCACTGAATACAGTAACAACTAACAAGCAGCAAAGAAAACATTGTTTGTTTGATGTGTTTAATCTCGAGACTTGTTAGTTTCACAAAGCCTATTTGTTACCCCATATTATGTGTTTCCATTCCCACATCATCTTGTTTGATATGCTTGGCTTGCCCACCATTCTTAGATGTAATAAAGCTTTTCATCCTTCAATTTTCATTAGATCATTCTCAAGCGCAGAATTGGGCTTCTTTTTCAAGTTGTTTCTTCATCAGTTGATCTCGTTGAGACAAGGTCCATTATTACACTCAAGAGATGATGAGGAGCAGCCTGACACTCAAGAGATGGAGTTGTGTAATTATCTAAACATTACTGCAACACATAGTTCGGTTATTGCATGTGGTAATCTTATTTCTGCATTCATGTTTTGGTATGACATCCCTGTTTTGGAGATCATTAATTTAGCAATATTACTTTTGCATGCGTGTTCTGGTAATATTATTTTTGCATGTATGTTAGACCTTGAAAATAACAAACAAGGACGTGATTTATACACTGACTCCATTTTAAATAATGAAACTAGGTAAAACTAGCAATCCCTTCAGCTTTATTCGACAATTTGCTTAATTGCAATCCCTTTGCCATATGTAGACAATGGAAATGCTCAGATCGGTCCGCTGGTATCAGTTTTGGGTGAAATGGACGATTTTGCCAAACTATTTATTGTTCTACCTCTACATGAAGGTGAGGAGAATTTGAACATGTTCCATTTGCTTTAAGGTTCATGCTAGCCATTTATGATGGTTGTTCTATGAAACTTCCTCTGTTCTATTAAGTTTCTTCCAAATACAGTCTTCCAATCCACCATTACTCTCCAACCAACTCCACCTTGCACCAATTACCCCCAGTATTATACCCCTCTCTACCATAGCTCTGGCTGGAGCTTTTCGATATGAAGATACTCTTTTGTTTTAAGATTATGGCAGCTAGCTGAGATGATCATGTGTTTTCGAGTGTGCATTAATAATCTTTATGTTTTATGTGAAGGTATTGGTGAAATCAAATAATATTTCCACCAAATTATATAAAGCATATCTACTGTCCTATTCTTTTCATTTAAAACTAGCACATAACCCGTGTATTGCACGAGTGTAATATAAAAGTATAAACAAATAAGATAAAACATTTTGTAACGCCATATTTTATAATATTTTAAGGTTTAAGAAATTTATGATTTTCTTTTATACCATAAAATAATAATCAGTCTATTCATTTTTTTTTTTTTGTAATATCGTATGTTATGAATATTCTGATTTTTCTTTTCAATAAAATAATGGACATAGTGGTTCGAGATGCAACTTGTTGCCACATACTTGAATAGTCGTGTACACCCGTTGTGTATTTATTATTTCATCGTAAAATTTTCAACATAATTTTTTCAAACTTATATGTGACAAATATACTAAAATATTATGTCATATTATTTAATGCTAATTTTTTTTAATGTATGTATGACTTTCAATTTCTATCATCTAGTTCATTATTTCAATGTAAAAAAATACTATTTTATATTTATAATTTTTTATATTCATTTATTTTTCATTTAATAAAATGAACATTATGAACGTTATGATTTTTTGGGGCTATAATTTGCATAGTGACTCGACAGACAACCCGATAAGTTTCCATTTAAAATCATATATTTGAACCATCTAATAGTTGTAGTATGCATACACTAGTATGTTATTAACATAAATAGTTCAAACGTATATGAAAAAAAAAAACAGAAAAATATTATTTGAAGGCATTTTTTATTATTTAATATTTTTTTTTTATTATTATTTTTTTTAATTTATTGTATGAGAAACTTGTTGGACATTTATTTTTGAAAATTGATTTTGATAGACAACTATTAATTTATTTTATACTGAAGAAATATTTTTTTCTTCTATTTTATATATGAAATGATTGGGTCAAATAAAATAGTGTTCAAAGAAGATTAATATCGTATATTATTATGTAAATGGATAATAAATAATATTTTTATTGAGTTTCTGTGTGGAAAAAGAAAAGAATAAATATTCGATTCAATTACTAAAAAGGAAACAATTGAAATAGTATACATATTTAATAAAAAAGATGAGAAATGTTGGAATCACGAATCATACGATCAAATATACACATATATACCTTGACATTAAATGCAGAAGAAATTATAAAGGAAAAAAATTTAAAAAAATCCTTTTGAAGTATGAAAAAACAGTACGAAAAACTTGTACTAAATACGGAATATCTTGTTCTTATTAAATATATAAAATATATTCATGGTAGGTTCACTGCTCCAGCTAACTAGCTATTTGCTTTATCTAATGATTTGGGTTGGATGATTATTGTAATTATTTCTAAGAAATTGATGCGTTTTTCTCCAATATTTACCATACAATCTCCATGTACATTTTTTATTATCTATATAAGTAGAAAACTACTATATCATTTTTGAAGTTTCATTTATCTAGCATTTCTTTGAATTTGATGAAGAATAGTAGCTATTACCTTACGACCAAATAAGTTTTGATCCTATGCTCTGGACTTCGATTTTAATTTTAGTGTAATACCAGGCTAATGTGATTTTTTTTCAATAACAAAACAATACTACTTATGTATAGTTATTTTCCAGACATTCAGAATTCACTTTCGTAGGGAAATTTAATAGGTCGCTCAGGAAAAAGTGAATCTTAAAGTTTAGTGATCTTGTCATTTCTTTTTTAAGGCTTAGGTTGATTATTTACAGCTTTCTTATAGAGGGATGTATGACTTGCTTCAAGAATGAGAATGACTTATAAGGGTTAAAAGTTTCCAATGAAAATTTAGTAGAGATAAGACAAATTACAGGCTTGCTCCAATTTTGATAGTATTAAGTACACAACAAAGGACTAATGTGCCCCTATTCAATTGTTTGTGCTATTAATTCTATTTGTTGGATTACTAAAAGTTTGTGGACATTGAATTTAATGGAAGGACAAATGTGGAAGGTAAAGGTTACCAAAAGATTTTTACCCTCCTTAGTACATTTATTATGCATCCTTTGCAAAAGATTTACACTCCCAAGTATACTTATTATGTGCTTTTTCTTGCAATTTTACCCTCCTTAGTACATTTATTTTGTATCCTTTGCAAAAGATTTACACTCCCAAGTATACTTATTATGTGCTTTTTCTTGCAAGTCTATCATAGGTGGATGGGGAAGTTTATGTTTTTCGGTTGTGCAGTACCTTTTTGTTATCGCTATCTAACGAAAATTTTGGCCAGCTAACACGCTTATGTCCTTAATTTAGCTTTACAAGAACTTTTAGTTGTTTTGTGCGTGCAGTAGAAGACAAATTGGACTTTCAATAAAAAAGGAAAGCGTCGGAATATGACAAAAAAATGCAAGTGTTCATTGTTTAGAAGAGGTCTCATTTATTAGCTTGGTAGCCCTTCCATTTTCCAAAATGTCCGCAGATTGAATTGTCGCCATTCGTATCTAATCTTGTCATTACAAAAGGAAAGTTGTTATTTGGTCATTAGTTTTAACTTATCTTTTTGTCACAAGCAAAATAAAAAAAAAAAATCTTAAGTACATCTTTTTTATACAAATTCATTATTTTTATGTTTTTAAAGGATGATAAAAATTGACCTTTGGATTTAGTTAAATACCTTCGCGAAATTACATTGTTCCCCAATATTTCTGAATTTATGTGTCTATTGCAAATGAATGTGTAGACTCAATTTGATAATCTAGAAACTTTGTTTAGGACGTTCGTCTTTTCACATTTATGAACTCATTACCTAATGTTTATGATTAGTATGTATTTTTGTGTGTGTTCCAAACCAACAGATGCATTTATGGAATCAGGTGGCTCATTTGTTTTCATGTGCTTGAAATTTGTGTCAGTTGGTTATCTTTAGTGAGTATTTATATTATTAATAATATATAATTATGATATATATACATTTTTGTTTATCATCTCACTTTTTTATGTACACTGTAGAGATGTTTGCATTCGGGGAGAATATATAGATGTGGGCATTGGCCTACTTTTGCAGTTACCGGTGAATGTTCCTTTTTTGAGTATCATCCCCATTTAGTACTATTAATAAATAAAAGGTATCTTACACGTGTTAGACGTGTTTGTTTTCTTTTGAGTCTAGTTTAATTAAATCATATCCATGTTATGTAACGCAATCATAGTTTTGTTAAATCACGCACTATGCACATTGTTCATGTTATGTCTGTTCAAATTATACTAGCTTCCTTCTCTGATGATGGGATGTTAGCTCAGTCTAATTGCTATCCTGTGATGATGGCCTAATTGATTATTTTGTGGAAATTGCAATTGTAAAAGGCTTTCAGATTTTGAATGAGAGTGCTGATTCATGTAATTATATTGGTAAAAGTTGGTGGGTCAAAAGTAAATGGAAAGAAGACAAAAACAGCTGTGGATTTTAGTGATATTTTCAAGGCTCAAATGAAGCTTGGCCCAGTGCAGCAAATTAAAGAGGCTTTTAATGAGTTTGTTTCCGACTCTAACAATCCTATAGAATTTTAACATATGCCAATTGTAGATAAAGGCTCTCCAGTAACCTACTTCTCCAATTCCTATATACTTTTTGGAAAGAAACCAGTGTTTTGTTTGCTATTAGATAGTTTTATTAGGAGACAAGGAGTTTGTGATCTTGGGCTATAAAAGGCCAAAAGCTCCTGTAGGTAGGTTGCCAGATATGTTAGGTTATTGAAACTGAAAAACTCTAGCCTTTTACTCGTGGGAAGCACAATTTCTTATAACAAGTTGATTATAATTGGATCATTGAGGGAATTGTGATGGCCATTACTGAGGGTAGCAGAAGAGATAAGGGTGTGAGGATTGGAGGTGAAAATGTTGGGAGATATGTTCGATATACCGAGAAACAGATTGAGGCTCTTGACAGAGTTTATGCAGAGTGCCCAAATCCAAATCGTTTTCAGCGGGCAGAGATTATTCGTGAAGAACCTGCTTTGAGGGGCCTAGATAACAAACAGCTAAAAATCTGGTTCCAGAACAGAAGGTAAAATATTTCATTTTTCTTTAACAATGTATTTATTGATTGGTTGTTAATTTACCTTGAGCCCCCACATCCACCGTACAAGGAAGAACGAAGAAAGTAGAAAGAGATAATAATCAGATAAGCTTTATTGCAATATTTTTATGGTCTATGAAGGCTTGTGATAGATTTGAAAATTATACAGTGGTGTTATTTTGGTTCTGTCAATTTAGAGTAGATTGATGCTTAGACTTTTGTTTATTCACCTTAGTTTTAAAAAGTTTGGAAATCATGAGTTACATTTATGTTGTGGTTGACTGTTGTCAGCTAATTAAATTTACTTGTTTCAATATCGTTACTGATAATTTTAGGAACTTTTTACTCATAAAAAGTCAATTTGACTATTATAGTCAACTTCTTTCGTTAAGGTTTAATTGGCTGAAGAAGCTGGTAAAGCATTGGCATGACAGTTGTCATCTTCATTTATTACTTGCTACCGGCTATGAAAGAGCGAAATGTCGGTCAGATATTTTTTTCATATTCGTTTTGATTTCTTTACAAATTTGATTTTTGGAAAACTTGAATCTTTTAGCCAGATAAGCGCATACTTCTATACAGCCACAAGTTTCTACAGATCCCAAAAATGACTTTTGTTTCAATTTTACGATGAATTAGTACAACTATAATTACTACTTTTTGTGTCCGAAAAAGGATAGGTTGAGACAATTTTACAGTTCTAGAAAACATGATCATTGTACTTTCCCAAGTAAAAATTGTTCTAAATTGATTATTATTTTATCAAATGTTTCTGTAATATTGGTTTTCATATAAATTAACTCTATTAGACTGGTCGTCATATAGACTAATATTCTATTCGAAGGAATGTGACTATCTTTTTTTGGACCAAGGGGGGGTATTAAGCTAAGCCAAAGAGTGAAAACATCCTACATCCTTCTGTAGATGGTTAGTCTTCCCTGCAATATGAATAGTTATAGTGAACTTTAACATGAGTGATTATGCATGAATGAATTGGAAAGCCAATTTTCTTTGGCAGCATGTATGTATGAATTGGTAGTTGCTGATTTTAAATCCACAGTGACTAATCTTGGTTACAAGTTACATAGGATCTTCAATCCTTAGGTTCATACATTGAGATATTTTTATTGAGTCGTTTAGGTTACTTTCAAATTCGTCATTACATGAAGTTTTTTAAATTATTATTATTTTTTATCCTTCCATCATTCCTAATCCTTTCATTCAAATAAAAGTATAAAACCTGAAGTGTTTCTTAGCTCACCTTCTGGTAGGGATTAAATGTAACAAACACCATAATGTATTTTGTCATTTTTTTTTATTCTCATATGTTTTTTATTTTATTGTTCTTTTCTTTTATTTTATTTTTTTTTATCTCTCCTCACATCCCATCCATTAATAAGTTGATATTCATAATTATATTTATCTATAATATCCTATAAAATATCTTTGCTAGATTGTTTCAACTTTCGAAATTTAATAACAATTTTTGTTGAACGTCTGAGGATAAATCAAATTATATAGCATTATATGAGTATTATTGCAATTTATCATTCTGTGTTTGCACCATCACTCTTCCCCTACCAGTGGCCGGCCATCACCATTCACTCTATCAACAATAGTCCCATAAGTTGTGTCATCCTTCGTTGACAGTCTTCTCTTCCTAAGGCATATCATCATAATAGAAAGTAGAAAGGAAGGTAGTAGAGTAGTTGAACCTATTACAGGTAAAATGAATCCATTTCAATTAAGGTAAATCGTTAAAAATGCCATTAAACTAAAGAATTTACGATCTATCTTTTCTTGTTCCTCTGCTTTGTGGTCGGGGTGATCCGCCTTTTGTGTCTCTTTGTTGTTTTTCTATAAGATTTATTGTTCATCCACTCAAATATTTGTGACGATCTATCATTAGTTTTACTTTTTCTGTATCACATAACAATTATTTATTATTTTCAGTGTTATCAATGGCAATTGGCGGTGAGTGTTATCAGTGGCAGGTGGCACAGGCCAAAATCCCGCCATGGTTATGGCACTGCCATAACCACCTCCTTCACAAATTTAGCTTGACGGTTTCACAAAAATCCACCAACCTATTCCGCCATGGCTGCCATTTGATATCATTGATTACTCTTTATATCACATTTGTTAAAATCATTATTTTTTTCACCAACTCTTCTTCTAGCACAAAAATTCCTCTCTAATGAAAATTTATCCGATAGAACCCTAGATTTTTGGGTATGGAGATTGGTAAGAGAAGCAGGGAAGTGTGAATGAAAGAAAAAGGTGGCTATTGAATTATGGCAAAAGAAATTTTTAAAAGAAAAATTTGGATATTTTGATTCTTCTATTGGTTATCAATTTTTGAAGAAATGTTCTTGACAAATCTTGAGGTTTCTTATCAGAAGAAAACAAACTTTCGTGTTTCATTTTCTATTGACTCGAACTAATTGAGAAATATGTGAAAATAGTTCCTTTGTCGTGGTTTTACATATTTTCCAGAAGTCGTGAGAAGCAGAAGAAAGAAAGTGACGATATCATGTTAGAAAACAGGCGGTTGACTGCGGCAAACAATCTTTTAAGGCAAGAGAATGATGACTTGCAGCAACAGGTTACCCAACTGACAAATGAGAATGAGCATTTGCGGAATCAAATACTTGACATATACGTATGTTACCTCACTCCTAATTGATTAATGTCCATCTAGG